AAAGATAACGTTGCCTGGCGATCAAATGCTACCAGCATCTTGTTCATCTCGTTTCTCCAGTCCATTGGCGATGCATTCATCTTATTCATAAAAATAAACAAATTATAGTGAGTGTGATTTTTATATTGAAAAATGGTGCCGCTATTCTTGAAAATTCTCAAAACTGGCTATCGCATGAGCGAATCAAGGATTTCGGAACCATCACACTTTTATCGTAGACATTCGAAAAAGTATAGCTTATTTTTTCAATTTTCTGTGCGATATTTGTTGTAATTTTTGAATTGTTCAATACTTAAGCAAGTCTTATTCTTACCTTTTCCTTAGTTCTTCGACCAAATCAATGACAAATATGAATTTTATTTAGTTAATTTCTTTCGACGAGAAACTCTTTGTGAATAAAGTTAAAGTAGCGAAATCGAACAGTATTCTCACGATTTATTGATTATTTTATTACATTTACTCAATAATAATAGGCAATTTATAAGGTGTACTTGTGATACCAATGACTATGATATTTTAAAGCGATGAAAAGAACTGCAAATATCAGGTTTCGCCAATTGCTTTACATTTCTGTTGACTTACTGAAGCACTTGAACGACTCTAATTTAATGTATCTTATGCTCAATTAAACTTGATACCGTATAGCAATTCGTGAGATGAATAGATGAACGTAATTTACACAAAGAATGGTGGTATAATAAAGCAACATAACGATCTGTCAAAATACCTTGGTTGCCACATTCGAATACCTCGTTTGCCGCTTTGTGACGAATTCATTTCTTTTCTCGAAATTCAACTTGAACGTTTGATTTAAACACAGAAAATATAAAATTACAAGGAAATCAATGGTTTTTAAGCTTTATTAATATTTATTGAGATGAATGAATTGAGAAAATATTTTGAGTTTGAAGATGTGTTGGCAATTTAAGTATTTAAGTCGTCCTCGAAAATGGATATTGACCGATTGACTTCATCCGTTTATTCTGGGTGGATGGTGTTCAAATGTCTTTTCAGGCCATATTTTTTTGTAAAACGCTTCATACAAATCTCGCATCGAAAAGGTTTTTCGCTGTTATGCTTCCGCATATGCATTTCCAAGTGATTTTTATTCAAATTGTTGAACTTCTTGCAGATATGGCATTCATATCGACGTTTTTTGCACACTTTTTCATGGGCATCTCTTCCGGCCTTCTGCGGAAATCCACTGAGACATCCTCGGCAATGAAAGGGAACTTGTTCGGTATGAGCCATTTTGTGGTTCTTCAGGTTCTGCATACTTGTGAATGCTTTGGGGCAAATATCACATCGATATTGCTTTACGCCACTATGTGTACGCATGTGTACATTGAAATTCCACTTGCGATTGCTGGAATATTCACAAACTTTGCAGTGGAATCGCTTCTGGATCTTCAACTGGTTTGCCGGCTTTTTCTTCGTCAGTGATTCTGGAGTCGATTCAGCTTCTGCTCTTGGCAACCTGGAAGAAACTCCCGTCTTGCGGTTATCGAATGTTACCGCTTTATGATTACTTTCGGTGCCGTTGTTGGATGTGATTGTGCATTCATGTCTGATGTCTTGAATGCGGTGTCCATTGAAGGCAGTTGATGGAATTACATCGTCTATCTCTTCTCCTGCTTTCATCACGTTGTCAATTTCTTTCTCGATGCAATTTTGTTTGTTCTTCTGCCAGTTGATACTTTTCGGGTTCATGTTTGGCACGTCATCGGTGTTTCGATCATATTCCGTCTCAAAATCATCATTTAATTCGGGTGGTTTGTCATAACCATCGCTTTGAATGCCGAATACCGTTTCTGGTGATTCCAATTCGACCGGATTTCCTGTCTGATCTTCTTCGGCGCTTGAGTCGATGACTTCGACCGGACCATTAGTTCTCATCATGTTCTGATGTACATCAAATTGGACCCGGTCTTTCAACATTGAATTGATTTCAAACTGATCATAAGTTTCCTCGATACTGCGAATGATTAACGCAAACGGATTAAAATAGGATAATCAAATGATATTTTCCGACATATTTACTAACCGGTTGTTTGAGGCCCGCATGAAATATTGCTTGAAGTGATCATTGAGCGATAAGCCACTGTATTTGAACGCCATTTCGATTTTTCCCAAAGAAACCGTTGTTTGACGTTCAAATTCCGAAAGCATTTGGTGCATTTCGTGTCTCCAGTCCATTGTTGTTGCACTCATCTAAGCGGGAAAATAATAGAGACGTAATTGTAGTCATGACAGTATTGTGAATCCTTAAATCAGAACTGAATCATTTATTTGTTCTTATTGCCGACTACAATTCGGTCAACTTGGCACGGACTAATTCTGAACAATATACAAAATTTTCCAATAACTGTGCCTTCTTACCTTCTATCTCCCAAATCAGCGGCGAATATTAATTTTATTTTGGCTCTCTTACTGGAAAGAATGTTTTGGATTAATAAGAAATGATGATTTATTGTGAGTTGCAATTGGTTTGGCAAATATCTATTATCGTACGAGATTCAGAGAATGGTGGGAATTGTGTTTTGACAAGGCGACAAGTGATGACAATGATGGCGCTATATATTAAATCGATGGCATGAGCTGTCAAAATGGTTTTTCGCCATATTCGAACTTCTTTGCGACGAATTCGACTCGTTTTTTTGAATATTTTTCGCTAAAAAAAAACGTGATTTTCCAACTGAGACGGTAATTAAAGCAAAACAGTTCCATTTATTACTGAACCAAAAGTTTTTTACTATTTTTTAGTTCTATTGTTAGAAAGATCGTTAACAAAACTTTGGTATAGATAAAATTCTAGATAAAATTGAATTTGTGAATTTTATTAACATTTTTAAAAGAAAAACTCTTTAAAATTTTGATGAACATTTGATTAATTTAACGTAAGACATTCAATTTGTTTTATGTCTGTAATTCAATAGAGTTGAAATCATCAAGTCAAATCGAGTGAATTTATGAGTTGATTCTGATATGGATGGTGTTCAAATGAGTCTTCAAACTTCCTTTCTGTGTAAAACGCATCATACAAATCTCGCATCGGAACGGTTTTTCACCGTTGTGCTTTCGCATATGCATTTTCAACTTAGTTTTTATCACAGTAACAAACTTCTTGCAAATATGACATTCATATCGACGCTTTTTGCATACTTTTTCGTGGGCATCTTTTTTGGCCTTCTGCAAAAATCCACTGAAACAGCCTCGACAATGAAACGGAATTTGTTCGATGTGAGTCACTTTGTGCTGTTTCACGTGATGTAAGTATGTGAATTCTTTCCGGCAAATATCGCATCGATACGGTTTCTCACCGGTGTGAGTACGCATGT